TGGTATCACACGCAAAAATCGCACATGTTGTAGCAAGTCTGTCAACAAGTTGTGTTCGCACTGCTTGTCCCAAGTTCTCAACAAGTTTGGAGCAAGCTGTTGACAACTTGTAACAACCTTGTTGATATTACGAGACTTGTTGCAAGGTTTTTCCAACAAGTCCAATACATTCATGATATTACAATATTGTTACAACCTTGTGTCGTCAACCTCGTAAAATTCTTGTTGACCTTGTTATATCACGATTGTATCAGACTTATTAGAACGACCTTGTAACAAGTCTGATAATGCCATCAAGCTTGCTAACAGCTTGTCCCAAACTCGTTATAACAACTAGGACAACTGATGACCAGGAACCTTGTCCTCAGCGCCAGGAACCTGGTCCTCAGCGCCAGGAACCTGGTCCTCAGCGCCAGGAACCTGGTCCTCAGCGCCAGGAACCTGGTCCTCAGCGCCAGGAACCTCGTTCTCAGCGCCAGGAACCTCGTCCTCAGAGCCAGGAACCTCGAGAAAGGCCTCCGAAGTTTTTACTCTTGTGCAATCGAGTGAGATCATATAAATTTGATTATCGCGTATCATGTTTATTATAGTAATCACTATAATAATTAGAGTTCACGAAACAGGCATCCTTAATTCTCATTTCACGGAGCATTTTTATCAACAATCACGCCTCACGGCTATATTACACATTTCACGACACTAAAATCAAGCATTTCACATTTCACGCGAACAAATATTGACCATTCACGGCTCACGAAAATACCCTTCCCGACCCTCACAAGTCTGTTGAGCTCAACAATCTTGTGGCAAGTTGTCAACAAGCAGTGCGAACACAACTTGTTGACAGACATGCTACAAGATGCGAGATCTTTACGCGTGTAGAGAAAATACTGTAATTCTTGTTGGAGAAAAAAAATTCGAGTGAAACAAACAGCCCCCCCCCCCCCGCCGCTCGCTCAGTGGCTCCCTCCCTCCTGGAAAATTGACACGTTTGCATAATTTTTTCAATTCATTTCCAGTCTTTTCTAATTTTCAGCCGCGCGCGTAGTAAATAAATATGGCCGCCAAAACAAAAGGGACATTGCTTCGTTTGTTTACAAATAACAACAATCGCTTGCAATAATTCATTGAATTCATTTTAAAGGTATGTGGTTAATAACTTTAACTTAAATTCTAACTCGAAAAGAAGTCTTTCAAGGCTGTATATAACTATATTTTCGAGGCGTTCGGTAAATATTATAAATATATAAATACACAATATATTTGTACATTTGTACTGTTCTTTTCAGGTGCACAGTATCAGATAAATTGATGGATTTTTCAAAGTTTTCTGACGATAATTTCGAGGTCAAACAATGGGTGAATGCTGCTTTAAAACGAAAAGACGAAAATACCGAACTGGATGTTAGTGTTTTCTGGTGTTTTGAATGACCTTTTGATCGATTGAGAGGTCATCTTTTTTCAGATTACGGGATTATTTGATATTAAATGTTCATATTGTTTTGTAGGCCCATGCATCAGGTTTAGTCATGAAATTGCAACTATTTATTCAAGTAAGGATGTATAGAAGACTTGTGGCAAAATAGACGAATCCCCCACAACCTCACCCCACGTCACACGTGTAACCCTCCCCTACCCCTACTTATTTGAGAACTTGGCAAAAAAGGAAAAATTACACTTTACCATGTACTGTCATTGAATAGTCAATACATACTGTGATCCCTGAACATTAATGAACATCAATAGATACCTAGGGATAAAAACAGAAAGGGCACGAAAAAGATCTTTGATCATTTTTGCCCAGGAAACAAGAGCGAGAAGGGCGCAAGACATTTATAGTTGAAAGGAACTTAAATATAGTATAAAATCAGTAGTAGTTCACCAGAATATTACACATACACTATCAAAACACGCCTAAAAAGAACGGAATAAACTTGCCATCAGAATACATGCAATGAATAAAAAATGTAAAAATACAAAGAATGAAAAAGAAATAATAAAAAGAATGAAAACAATTTTTTTTAAAATCACAAAAGAAACAGCCCTGCCAGGATTTGAACCCTTGGGGAATGCATCAGGATCGGAACCTGTTCCACTAGACCATCAAGGACCATTGGCAGTGCTGTGTGCACAATATAAAGTATTTATATCTTGTATCTAGACTCGATCTAATCACCCATACAGTAAACACGTAATTCCTCTATTTAGCCACTAGCCGAAATGACTAAATGAGTTTGAATACTGTCTGGTCATTCCAAGTAATATCCACACACCCCTGTTACAGTTTCTGATTTTAAACCCCCTCACCAGAACACTCTTTGAAATTTCAGACTTTTCAAACCCCTTGGGGTTCCATTGTGTCAAAATTCCCTCCAAAATCGTTTTGTGTTTTTTATAGAAATTAAGTATGGTCAAATTACTCAAAGCTAAAGCTCTCTATTGACTTAAACTTATTTGGTTTTAGGAAGTGAACAATGCTTTGGAGGAAACTAGCACTCAATCTCTTAATAACATGCCAAGGTGGTAATTTATTGCCAAAGAGTTGATATTTAACTATTAGTACAATACAATAAATCAATGATGTGTATTTCAAATGTCTTGTATCTTCTCTCGTAGAGTTCTGCGAGAACTTGAGGTTATACGGCAGGAAGCAACATTGCTCAAGGAACAAATGAGACTTGTTAAAGATGATATCAAAGCGGTACTGTGTAATAAATGTTCTAAATGAAACGAACATATTGCTAGTATTTGATAGGGTACCATATCAATGTCTGCACCTCCTTCCTTTTAGGTTGAGCAAAACACGTCAGAATCAATGAAAATGTTGTTGGATTTGGATGAAGTAAAGTCAAGAATACAATCAGCATCACATGCTTTGCAGGTATCACCATCATCACCACCACCACCATCAAACATAACCATCACTACTACAATCATCACCATCATCATCACCACTACCATCACAATCACCCTCACATCATACTTTACTACCACCACCATCATCACCACTGGTCATCATCATCAACATAACCATCATCACCATCATTGTCACCATCACATTCACCCTCTCAACATAATCACTACCACCATCACACCACCAAAATCACCACCACCAAAATCACCATCACTACCATCATCACCAGTGCCACAACCCTGGGATTTCCAAGTGTTCTCATCATCCATTCAACTCCTTACAGGAAGCAGACAACTGGACAACACTTTCAGCTGATGTTGATAAAGTTTTCCTATCTGGAAATTATAGAGAGGTTTGCATCCCTATCAGCCAAAATTTTGTAAACATAAAATGACTCTTATAAAATATCTCTACTTCCTAATTTTTAGATTGCTAAAAAGCTAGTTGGAATGCACAGAAGTTTGGTAGGTTATCAAATTCTTAATACACAGTGTCGCCAACCTTGACAAAAACATGGGTGTGGTTCTATTAAGCAGAACAGGTTTCCCAAAAGATGCCTGCAACTGGTTATTCTATAGGGTAGACAATTGAGCACTGGCTATTTCTCAAAGTTATAACCCAAAAATATTTCCTTACAAAATTTGCAAAACTACTCTCACACTGAGAGTGCCATTTCAGAGTGTCTAAATTTCAATCTTTATGAGGAGATGCCAAACTCTAACTTTATTATCTTCTACTGTATAGAAAAGTTTGTAAAGTGATACTCACATGTCAAGTGCCATTTAAGGTTGTGCTTCATGATGTACCAGACTATAATGAACGACATAAATTACTGGAAGGTCTGAAGAATAAGCTGGAAGCTCTTTTGAGTCCAAAATTGGTGTCTGCTTTCAACAGTCATTCCTTAGGTATAGTTATACCTTCATATATTCTTGAAATAATCTTATATATACAAGATTTGATATGTTTAAACTGTTGATTATATTTTTCTTGTAGAAGAGAGTCAAGAATATTTTCAAATATTCCGTGATATTGACAGACTTGATCAGTTGCAAAACTACTATATACGTTGCCACAAGGTGAATCTATCTATCTCCCATATTACAGCAAACCCCTCAGTATGAGGATTATGTGCTGGGGTTAGCAGAATATACACGTTGCTAACCCAAAGAAAAAGTTAAATAATAATAAATTAAGATAATTAGTGCTTGACAATATGATACAGTACGGTACATTATTCGTTGGCAAAAAGAGGGTCTTTTCAAAAGCCTTGTCTAAATTTTCAGAGCAAGCTGTTGCAGACGTGGAAAGATATTCGCGAAGAAGACCCAAGTCAGACGATGTTGGATTGGTTGTCAATATTTTACAATAGTTTATTATCGACGTGGCATTCTGAACTGACCTGGTGCAGTCAAGTGTTTGGAAAGCCGGGAAGGGTGCTGTGTCTTCTCATGAGTCAAACTCTTAACCATCTTGAGCCTCCATTTTCTGTTTGTGTAAAGGAATTCGTACGAGACGAGGCATACCCGTTGCAACAGTTGATAGATCTAAAACAAGTGAGTGTATTGTGCTTTGGTAAAACGTCAATGAGTGAAATTGATATGTGGTGATGAGATGGTCGTTTTGGTGATGGTAGTGCAGATGATGGTTGGGATTATGGTGATGGTAACGGTAATGGACTAATAGTGACGATGAAGGTGGTGGTGGTGATGGTGTTAATAGTTGTGGTTATAGTAGTTACGATGATGGTTACGATGATGGTAACTAGAGTTGTGATGGTGACTGTGTGGTAGATGAAAGTGGTGGTGTTGATGGTAATAATAGTTGTGGTTATAGTAGTGATAACGATGATGGTTACGATGATGGTAACTAGGGTTGTGATGGTGACTGTGTGGTAGATGAAAGTGGTGGTGTTGATGGTAATAATAGTTGTGGTAATAGTAGTGATAACGATGATGGTTACGATGATGGTTACGATGATGGTAACTAGAGTTGTGATGGTGACTGTGTGGTAGATGAAAGTGGTGGTGTTGATGGTAATAATAGTTGTGGTTATAGTAGTGATAACGATGATGGTTACGATGATGGTAACTAGAGTTGTGATGGTGACTGTGTGGTAGATGAAAGTGGTGGTGTTGATGGTAATAATTGTTGTAGTTATAGTAGTGATAACGATAATGATGGTGATGACGATCAAGGTGGTGGTGGTGATGGTTACAAAGATGGTAACTAGAATTGTGATAGTGACTGTGGTAGATGATGGTTTTGTTGTTACTAGTGATAGCGGCGATGGTTTTGGTGATGAGTAAGATCATGACGATTGGTCCAATCTGATGTGCACTATGTATCTACTATATTCCCATGATAATTGTAATACTGCAACAACTGGCTTTGTTGTGTATTTTGTATACTTTAGGTGACTCTGAGATTTTCTAAAGCATTGCAAAGTTCATTTTCGGAACTTAAAGGTACTTTTTTCTTAAACTCTTTTCTAAAATAGATTTCAAATGTACACAGTTACTTTTAATAAACTTTAATCCTGTCCCTACTTTCCAGAGGATTACACAGAAGCAGCGGTGGCATTAGTGAACGCTGTGTACTCGCCATATACACCGTATCTACTGGATTATTCTGCTCTACAAACTGGCTTTTTTACAGAAAATCTCAACTCTATGCAACTGGTACGGCTTTGTATAAGTCCCGAACTGATAGAGTTATTCAGTCTCAATAAATATAGTTAGTTTTTGAATCTTTAATAAACGTACATTTGTGAAAACTCAAAATACATGCATCTTTTTTCTTTCCTTATACAAGAATGCAGACAATTTTCTCGAAACCGTAGACGCGTTGTCAGAGTCGGTTGGTAAAGTTTTTCAGTTATCGGAAATGGTGAGTCGGGGCCATTTTTAAACGCACCTAATTTTCTGTTGCAAACGGAAGCCACAAATTTATCAAATGTTTTTGCCACTCCTGCCAAAAATAATTCTCGTAAAATGAAGTCCCTTTATCAAAGTAGGAATTCTAAGTTTTGAAGGATTTGTAAGAAATGTCTGAGGGGACTCAGTGTTAAACACGTAAGTTCCCTCAAACATCTCTTACAAATCCTTCAAAACTTAGAATTTACCTGGCTATGTTAAATTCCTACTGTGATCACGGAAACTTTGATAGTGTAAGTCATCCTTTATACTGACTAAAATCACACGTAGTTTCGCTTGTCTTGTGTGTTTATAGGCATTAGAGTTCTGTGTTTCGCTCACAGATGGTTTGGGTTCATATCAATTGGTACAGTCTTTGGAGGTAATGATAGCAAGTAGCAACGGTATAGAAATTCTCCAAGTCCTCAGTGAATATAGGTGGTCTTATTAACTTACCGAGTTCTGTTCTTTTATTTAGGTATTCTTCTCGGCATATCTACAGAAGGTTAACAGTATTGTGAAGAGCATTAGGAATGATCTTCATTTGGATAAAGTTTCAGATCAAGTCAAAGAAGATTGGACCAGCTTTCAATACGCTTCAAAACTTATACAAATTTGCGGTAACCGCATTTTCGACTACACTGAACACATAAACATTCTAAAGTAGACGATCTTTATTTATACTGGATAGTTCTATCAGTTCTGAACTGTTCTTTCTAGACTTCCAGTAAGGACAATAGTATCTTATTGGACCAGTGTTACTACAGGTGGAAATCGGAATACACACGCGAAAACGCACAACTTGTAACAAACCTGCAACAAACTTATAACAATGCTGTTTGAACAACTAGCTAATAGACAAGTTGTCAAACGGACTCAACAGACTTGTTACAAGTTGTAACAACCAACGCCTAATATATTTATTGAATAAAAACGCTACTTCTATCTCCCTTCAAGGTGATTTGCTGCTAAAAATACAAGAATTTGAATCGGGTTTGTTAAAATGCGTGACCAGCTCAAGTCGAAAATGGTTGAACACAGACAAACGAGATAATAAAACAGTTGCTGAACTATTTAACACGTATAACTACCTTCAAAAGGAAAATCCATTGGAATTTGGCAGTTTGATAGAATTTAACCATAATATTGAAAATGGTGGGTAATATTTGGTTGAAATTTCATCTCAGAATCAACCTCTTTCACTCTGAAACTAACAAAAAGTTTGGCACTTTGGGTGGATTGGTCCTTGTTTTGAAAACCCCACTGCTCTCTATGCCATTCAGTCATTCAATCTTCTGATATGTCTGTGACGTACACATGCACAAGTTGTAACAAACCCGCAGCAGACTTGTAGCGATGCTGTTCCAACAACCTGTCAACAGGATGTGTTCGCACTGCTTGTTCCCAGCCTGTTGACAAGTTGTCAACGGCTTGTTGACAATTTGCTACAGTGTTGTTGAGCTCAACAGACTTGTTACAAGTTGTTCCAACAACATGTTATCGTCCTGCAATTAAACAATTTGAGTGACAACCTTGTAGTAACTTGATGAAATAACAGTATTGTTACAACTTGTTGACAAACTTGCTACAAGCCTGTTGCGAACACATCTTGTCGACGAGATTTTTACGTGTGCATTACTTAAGTATATGTTATGAAAATATTAATATTATTTTCTGATAATTGCTAACCATACCATCTGTTGCATGAAACCTATAAGCAATCTGTTCGACTTTGTGTTTCCATTCTAGGATGCAGCATAATTAACACTGTCGTGAAACGAATGGAAGAAATGAATAACAAAGTTCATAATTTAGCATTTGATGTGGCGTTCTTACCTCTCAAATGTAAGATTAATTCCATGTCTGCTCTTCAGGTGAGAATGTGGCGACGAGGTACTGTTCGCATTTTTCAAATGTCTAAAATAAACCATTATAATTGCTCGCCGTGTCAACAAACCTAACCAGTATTTGACTCCTTTATCTTATTCGCCGTGCCTAGGAAACAATGTTTCTTGGTTGATCCACCTTCGGGAAACATGGCTAGAAAACAATGTTTCCTAGTATGCCCACCTTCGGGAAACATGACTAGGAAACAATGTTTCCTGGTTTGTCCACCTTCAGGAAACATGGCTATAGGGAACAATGTTTCCTGGTTTGTCCACCTTCGTGAAACATGGCTAGGAAACAATGTTTCCTGGTTTATCCACGTTCATCCTCTACAGCGTTCTCATTCTAAATACAGATGTTTTTCGCCATTCTATTCCAGGTGTGGTCCAAAACTACATCAGACACAGGCGACTCGCTAAGTGGTGATATTCCAACATTCAGTTTGTCTCCACAGGGATACATTACAGAGGTAGTGCTTTTAAAGCATATTTGGCACATATTGTATCTGGTACCATGAACTTATATAAGCCAAGGTCAAAGGAGAATGAGCCCCAGTGAAACGAGAACAAGAGTTGCTTCGTTGCATTGGGGGCCCCTTTTGAGCTGGGGGCCCAGGGGACCCCCCCTATAGGCGGCCGTGGCTACAAGGAAAGGTGGTTAGCACTACTCTTTACTCTTTATCTTCACAAACAACATAAATTGATGTGCATTGCCATATCTCTGCAATAGGTTGGCGACTATCTCCTCACTCTGCCTCATCAACTGGAATTGTTTATGGTTCAAGATAATCCTGCTTTGGAAACAGCGCTTAAAGCTGGCAAACTACAATTTTCACGAGGTAAATTAAACTCTAACCCTTTGCCGAACTGGCAGTATGACATCACCAAACAGTGTATGTTTTTCAAGTTTTTCCAGTTTCCTCCTGTAGTTACACTAAATGGACGAATATTTTCCTGCGGAGAACAGTTCAGGATTGATGGAGCTATTTAGTATAAAAGTTAGTTTATACAACTTTAATTTATTATGTCGCTTCTTATAACATAGATACAGGCGAAGAGCAAGACCCTGCCTCAAAATGGTTAAGCTCCGTTGCTCAGGCGACCATGCATACTTATGTTGAAAGTATCTTACGTATCCCAGAGCTGACGGTCTTTGCGAGTAAACAACTCGTAGCTGATATCGGTAAGCTGATATGTTTTATAAAGTTGAATTTCAGAAAGAATTGTAGTTCAATTAACTTGTTCCCCATTTGCTAGACCGCAACACTTGTACTGAAACACACCAAACGCGTTTTACAGCGTTTTAGTCTTACCTTTCAAGTATACCACTAACTCGCTTCTGAGCTTTGCTAGCTTCAACATATTTTGCTTTCCTTGTTATAGAATATCTGTTCAATATCTTGGAAGCATTGGAAGTTAAACCAAGCGAAGTTATATCGAATGTGAATAAACTGCTCAAAGCTGAACATGACGAGTAAGTATGCGCTTTGTATAACACATAGCGCCATCCAGTCAGAATCAAGTGATCGAAATGTTCCCTTGTCTCTTCATCGATTTGAAAATCCCGCTGTTTTCCATGCCAATCCAGTTACGTATTATTTGAGTCAAAAGCCTGAAAGCACTCGTCCTAGAGCCACCAGTAGCTATGCTTTCATTTAACCACTGTATTATAATAGCACGACTGGGTAATAGGCTTGGAAGGGTATTTTCCGCCATCTTGAATCTATTGTTTTCACCATTGTGTTTGCACCCCTTGCACTATTGTGTTTCATTATGGCGTCGTTAACCTTGGAAGGGTCTGTTAAACCAACACCCTGCTATTGGTTGGGCGAAAAAACAATACACACGTGACGATGAACCGACCATTCCTTGCATAGATAATGAGGTCTATAATTTAATCGAGTTTCCTGACCTTATTCTACTAACTATATGTATACAAGAACCACTGAAGATACAATAACAAATCCATTTGGTTTAATTGCGACAAACAATTGGTCATGTTCAAACCAATCTTAGCGAAATACTATTTCCTTCCTTGTCCATTTATAAAATATACAAAATATCTATTAAATTATGTACACTAAATAGCGTTTTTAAAAATTTTGGTGCGTAACGTACGGATGTTTTATTCAATAGAGTGTGTGTTCAAAGTTTCGCCTATTGGTCTTGTTGTTCCTAAATTTTACCTTGCGCATTAGTCGTTGAATTGTCCCTCTTTCAGATTCACCAGTCTCCTCATTCACCATGACATTTTCTCCCATTTCTTAAATATTCAATGTTTCATCTAAAAAAATTAAAATATGATGAGCGAACTGAGAGAGCATGTACAGTATGTTGATCTAAAAGCTGGTTGACACTGTCAGAGTTTCTGTGATCACAGTAGGAATTTTGCATGGGTAAATTCTAAGTTTTGAAGGATTTATAAGAAATGTTTGAGGGAACTGACTTAGTGTTTAACACCGAGTTAGTTCCCTCAAACACTTCTTACAAATCCTTCAAAACTTAAAATTTACCTATGCAAAATTCCTACTGTGATCACAGAAACTTTAACAGTATAAACCAGTCTTAAACTTTCTTGGACTACAATTTTGAAAGCTTCAATTTTGAGCAATTGAGCTAAGCTTCGTTTAAATCTTTCCATCATTGCGCGTAAAATGCAATGTATATGCAATGTTAAAGTCTGGTAAATTTTTAATCCTGCGTATTGTTTATTTTTTGTCAGGTTCCACATTTTAGCTGCAGATCTTTCTGTCGAAGACAGAATCAAGAATGCTTTGATCGGAATGAGAAGTAAAAGATAACACGAAATGTCGCGCTGGAATTCTTTGAGAATAAATGTGGTCGTTGACAATGCACGCACATATTTAGATACTGGTATAGGATGCAATTATTTAACGAAATAAAAACTTTGTAATAAAACCTCGTACTAGTAGAATTAGCTGTTTGGGAGCAGTGAACAGTTAATAATATTAAGGCTGATGGATAAGTGGCCCGATTTATAGTGGAGAAATGAGCGTCTGTCCTGAAAGATCTAAAATCAATGTTTCACATCAATACACCATTTACTCATGGCGATAGTGATGATTCACCCCACCTCGATCGTGGCCAACCATATGACCAGCATCTGTCAGTACCCCCACCCTTTCCCCCCACGAGATCATGCTGAATCCATCCCTAGCCGCACCCCCCCCCCCACTCCTACGAAATCATGTTGAATCCATCCCTAGCCTCTTCTAAAACTCTCACCTTAAATAATTTCACATCAAAGACAATCTTCATGAAGAATCAGAGCCGCCTGATGAACTGTCATCGTCGTCTTCATCATCATCATAAGCGTCTGAATCATTCGTATAATTCCAAGCTGTCTCAATGGACGGCAATGTCTTGGCTTTATTCTTCTGATTTCTCATCATTATCTCGGCTTGACGCTGGGCTTCTTCCTGCTTTTTACGTTCATCGTTCTCATTTTCCGCTTTCTGAAATGGAAGGTGGAAGCGATTACACACACAAAAATTTCACATCTTGTAGCAAGTCTGCCAACAAGCCGTCAACAAGTTGTGTTCGCACTGCTTATCCCAAGTTGTCAACAAGTTTGGAACAACGTGTTAACAGTTGTAACAACTTTGTTGATATTATCGGACTTGTTGCAAGGTTGTTCCGACAAGTCCGATACATTCATGATATCACAATACCTTGTGTCGTCAACCTCGTAACATTCTTGTTATATCATGACTGTATCAGACTTGTCAGAACAACCTTGTAACATTCTTGATATATGATGCCATTATTGTGATGCCATCAAGCTTGTTACAAGTTGTTAACAGCCTGTTCCAAACTTGTTACGGCAGTGCGAAAACAACTTCTCGACAGCTTGTGAACAGATATGTAACAACTTGTTTGCAGATTTGTAACAACTTGTGCGTTTTTACGTTTGTACTTGAAAGTTTTCTTGCACGAGGTGTGTTACCAGTAACACGCGTAAAAACGCACAACTTGTAACAAACCATTTGTAGCAATGCTGTTCCAACAACTTGTTAACAGGATGTGTTCGCACTGCTTGTTGACAACTTGCTACAAGGTTGTTGATTCAACAGACCTGTTACAAGTTGTTCCAACCAACTTCTTATCGTCCTGCAATTCAATAACCCGTCAACAAGTTGTGAGTCTTGTAGCAACTTGATAAAATAACAACATTGTTATAACTTGTTGACAAGCTTGCTACAAGTCTGTTGCGAACACATCTTGTTGACAAGCTTGCTACAAGTCTGTTGCGAACACATCTTGTTGACAAGCTTGCTACAAACCTGTTGCGAACACATCTTGTTGACAAGTTGTGAGATTTTTATGTGTGTATGATACATTAAAATCGTGTTTAAACGAATAAGTATATAACGACACATTACTTACAAAGTACATATTAATGAAATCCTGGAAATATTTGAAGAATTCTGAAGGTTCCATCTTCTTGCCATCTTCCCCAAACATTTGACAAGCGTCGATATACTTTTCCTCCATTTTACGATATTTCTCGCTCACTTTTTGAACCTTACCGAACGCTCGATTGTAAAAGCTCTGTTTCAATATTAAGGAAATCTAGCAACGACATTGAACCAAGTATTTATAATATACTGCATGGATAGCTTGTATTGGTTCTTTGAGAATTTGCATTTATAGCGTTTAAAAAGGATACAAATAAAACGAAATTGTCAGTTTGCTTATCTCTTTCCTTTTTCGTCAAGTCAATTCCTTTCTTCAGACTTTGAATGTCGTTGCTTAGCGTTTGTTTCGAAACTAACAATGAAAGCGTAATATAAGATCCACAATTCTATATTCTGAACCGCCTAAACCTTGCGCGTGTAAGACTGTCGTAAAGTGAACTTTATACAGGGTGTGTTCGAGACCTTTAGAAATCAAATTGTTGTTAAGCACAAGATTTTATGCTCCTGGGAATTTAAAATAGCTTCTAATCGTATGAAAGAGCATAACTGGATAAAATATTGTTAAATTACTAATTAGTCATATCATCAGTTCGAATAAATAGGGTTCAATTAACCACAGAGCAACGAGTTTGTACTGTTTTGCGTGCTGGGTTAAATTAATCAGGACACAAATCATACGTTATAGAATAGAAGCTATATTTAAACAGGAGTCACAATCAGTAAAATACTGTTCTCCCAAATGTACCTGTAACGTTGGACGAAACCAAATTAAAGTTTTAAATAACTTCGTCATGCATAAAATTCACTATTCTGTTTGCATTCAAATTCCAACAATAGCTTCATTTCTAAAGGTCTTGCCCCCACTCTTCGGAGGGATTTGCCCCTCCGCCCTTCTCATTGGTAGCGAGGGTCCCTTCATCTCCCACCACCGCCTCGCTCCTCTAGGCACGCCCCAAGCAAGAGACACAAACCTTGTGTAGCGTCCTCTAAGTCAAGTCCTTGAGCGAATGAGTGGAGCTCAGGCAAATGCGTCTTGACCGTGGTCACTACGAAATTGAGAAGAGACATCTTGCGATCTGTGGACCTCACGTCAGGAAGCTAGAAATAAAAAACAATGGAAAAAACTTCAAAACAAGTAATAGAGCTAATCATGTTTCTTTCTACCCAATAGAAGCTTTACTAGTAGAGTTTACTTAAACACTACAGCAACAAAAGTCCGAACAATGGGTGAGTGTGATTAAACAAATATATATTTTAAAGGCAACGAAACCGTCTGATCACTGAGTCGCAATTGAATAGCACTATTTTCACGCTCACTCATATTTTCAGCTAACCCAGTTACTGTTCTGATACTGTAAGCAAAGAATTGGACAAAGGTATATACCAAGCATTTGCTCAACCTACCTTGTACAGTGATTCAAGTTTAAATCCAGCAGCGACTTTCTTTCTTGTGCCATTCATGTAGTTACCAAAAGCCAGTATAATCTTTAAAATAGATATTAGCAATA